TGGCCAGCACCATGTTGGGGAGCCTTCTGGGTGCTGGGGAAGGACTTACCCGGTGTCCAGAGGCCCCCTGCGCTGGTGTCCCATGTGGCTGGGCTCCTGACATCCCTCGGGTTGCTAGGAGCGTTCGTAGCAGCTCTCTGCATTCCTCGCTAGTGAGCTGGTCTACACTGATCTCTGGTCTCTGGCCTCCTCCCCGGTGTCCTGGCAGTCCTGGATGGACTGCTGGTCTTCCATGCCTTCCTTTGTGGCTTGCAGCTGCAAGGAAGCATGCGAAGGGGTCCCTTGCGTTCCGCTGGGTCCTCTGGGGGCATAGAGATCATCTGCAGCCTCCTCTGGATTGAAGCTCGCATCAGGGACTGGATGCAGGGTTGCCAACCTTGCTTGGAGACTCCTGGTCATAACCGGGGAAGTCCTACCATCCATCTCTTGGGAGTTCTTGCTGGAATCTCCTGGCATCTTGCTTCTGCTGGCTTGGAAGCGTTGCCTCAAACCATCCTTGGCTACCACTTTGTGAGGGATCTCACGAAGAATGATGGTTCGTTGAGGGTGCTTCCAAGAAAAGGTCAGCACGCAAGGATGCAATCAAATTAAGTCTTTATTTAGAAGTAAAAGTAGAGTAAAATAAGTTCCCAGGCATGGAGGCATCCATGCCTGGATTGAGCCCATGGGTCAGTCCCATAAGAGAGTAGAACAAGAGCAGGGAAAGCAGGGAAAATCAGGAAGCAGCCCCTGTACAGGGGTTCTTATAGGGGCCCCTGGCCCCTCCCTTACCCATGTGTGTGAGGGGGCTGGAGGGCCATTAACTCTCCCCAATGGGGCTTCAGGGGCTGGAGCCCCTTGACCCACCAGTGGGATCAAAGGTGCCTCTTTGCCCCCATCTGGTGGCCTTTGAAGAGACTGCCATGGCTGGCACAAAACACCTAACATTCTCTTACATTTCACTATTTAATATCCACATGCTTTCTTCTATTCTTTACTCTGTCACCTGTTGCCATTTTAATGCAAGCAACATTATCTTCAAACACCATTACAGCTTCAGTTACTTTTATGTTTAAATCCTATAACAGCTATACGTACCAAGTCACCTCTGAGCAAAGCTCAGACAGAGCAATAAATTCTGCCTCTGCCATAGAAATGGCTACAGTTGTTTGTTTTCTGGACTTCCAACCAATTAAAGTCCCTCCAAACAATACAACAATCCCAGAATTAGACTTTTTGGTTTTTACATCATTGGCATAATTACTGTCAACATAACATTTTAATTTCAATTCTTCAGAGATCTGTATTTGAAGATCCAAGTTCTTTTTTTAAAAAAATAATTTTTATTGAACAGTTTTTTTAAAACAGACAAAAAAACAAATAAAAACTGATATTTACATCTTCTTCTTTTCAACATCTTCGCATCAGTAATCTATATTTATACATTTTATTTTTTTTATCTTAATCTATCTTTTATACATATATTTCTAGTATATCATATATTCTCTTATTCTAAATATTTTATTTACATTTAACATAAACAGGCACCTAGTTTCCTTTTCACAATATATATCTTCCCATTTGTTTCCATATTTCTCCACCTAATTTAACAATTGTTTAGTTTTCTTTTGTCCTCTTTTTTCTCCTTTCTCCTTCAACCATTTATACCATTTCTCGAGACTAAGTAGTATTCTGTTTCACCTTTTTCTTGTATCTCCTTTGTGAGTTTATCCATTTCAGCACACTCCATAATTTTTCTAATCACCTTATCTTCTGATGGTATGTCATTGTTTTTTCAATTTTGGGCGAAAACTATTCGTGCTGCTGTCATTATGTGAATAATTAAGTATCTTATTTCTTTTTCATATGGCCCGGTAATTATTCCCAGTAAAAACGTTTCTGGCCTCATTTCTATTTGTTGATTTATAATTTCTTCTATTTGTGTTTTAATTGTTTGCCAAAATTGTTTTGCCTTCTGGCAGGACCACCACATGTGATATAAGTTCCTTTTTGATGTTTAGATTTCCAACATAGCGGGGAGGTATTTGGAAACATCTTTGCCAATCTGGCGGGTGGGAGATGCCACCTATAAAACATTTTATACATATTTTCTTTATAGGGTACAAACATTGTTAGTTTGTAATTTATATTCCATAATTTCTCCCATTTATCTAATTCAATATTGTATCCAAAATGTTTCTCCCAAATTATCATATTTTCTTTAACTACTTCTTCTTCCAATTTGTATCTTAATAAATAATTATAGGTTTTTTTAATCAATTTATCCTCTGTTCCATGAAGAATTTTATCTAATTCGTATGTTCTCTTTTGAAATCCAAATTGTGCCAACTCTGTCCTGTATCTAGATTTTATTTGCATATAGGGCCACCAATCAATGTCTGTACCCAATTCTTTCAATTCCTGTCTTGTTCTTAATTCCCCTTGATTATTCAAAAGATCTTTGTAAGTTTTCATTTTACCAATATCTAGAGCATTTGGGTAGATTTGTGCCTCCATAGTGGATAGCCATTCTGGAATTTTATCATAATGGTTCTTTTTTATCCCCTGCCATGTCTGTAGCAATGCTTCCCTGATCAAATATTTGCCTTTGAAAATATTCGTGCTGTCTACTTTTTCCCTCCCACAAGAAAGCATGCCATCCCCTTTAATCCATATCAAATATTTGGCAGGGAAAGAAAGCAAGGATCAAAATAAAACATTTACAAGACACGAGGGAGAGAGGAGGATTAGCACTCCCAGACTGGGAAACATATTGAAGACCCAAGTTCACAGTTCCCTTCAAATACCTGAGAATCCTTTTTATACCCATCCAATGCAATTGTGTTGGTGCAGCAGTAAAGTGACTTAAGATGCTTACCACACAAGCTATGCCTGTTTTGGACCACTGTGACAGATATAACAAGCTCCCTATTGCAGACCGATATATCTCTTGATCACAACTGTCATTAGCTGAGCTGCTCTTAAAAGGAATTATGTTAGAGTTTGTAGCAATCCAACCAGCACACAAGTAAATAATTCAGCAGGATTCATTTATATAAGAAACTTCTTTATATATAGGTCAATTGGTTCATTGCCAAATAATGATCTTTTTCTATCTTCCATCCATGTAAATATAGTATTTTATATTTCTTGTTTTCACTGAAACAATGTATGTGTTGCAACTTTCCCAAGTTTCAGAGAAGTGAGGTGAGAAGTGAAACAAATCATGTAGAAGGGTAGCTTGGCATTCAACTGCTTTGAAACTCATCAAATTTGGTACTCAATGTATTGTATTTTGACATGAAAATTTTGTCCTGGTAATCATCATTCATTTGGTACTCAACACACAAGCTAGATTTGTCATTGTTGGCTGCCTTGTGACTCACTACATGAGTCTATGGGAAAAATTGTTTATTACTCATCTTTTTGGTGCTCATCACGGCTCCTGGAACCAATTAATGATGAGTACTGAGGTACCACTGTATTATTTACTGGTCCTCAATTTGTGCCAATAAACTGAGTTTCCCTTGCCTGCTGCCATCTAATGGTCATATTTGACTTTTTCTCTCACAACCCTACCCCATTTGCTCTCCAGGCAAGTCCCTTCAGAGTATTTCCCATGGATTTCCCCAGCCAAAACCTGAGACCCCAAATAAGGTTGATTGTTATGGTATGGATGTTAAGAGTGCTAGGAAGAGAAATTGCCAGATACTCTGCCTTGCAAGCCTTGCTCCTGTGAGTGAATTTGGGAATATAAATATGAGCCAGGGTAACATATTTTGCCTTAAGTACCCCTCACAGTCTTGAGAAGATTTGAGTGAAAATCAAAATGATTGATCCAGATCTTTGTTATCAGCTGCAGAGGCCTTCAGGAAAGCCTTACCGGCTTTGCTGGCTGCAGAAGAAATGGGCTGGCAAGGCAAGTGTCGGGGTGTGCGAGGTCTGGCTGCAACTGTCCGAAGGTAAGTAGTAGGGCAGCTCCACCCCCCATCCCCACCCTAGCTTAATTTTAACCCTGGAGTTGGTGGGGTGTTAATTAGGGCTTATTTTGGGGGAAGGGCTTATATTGGGTACACATGTAAAAGTCAAGCTAGGACTTACTTTTGGGGTAGGTCATGTTTTTGGGGAAACACGGTATTTAGAAACAGTGATTGCTCTTATGGTCTTTCTAGGTCAGTGATGGCTAACCTTTTTGCTGTCGTGTGCAAAAGCGTGGGGAGTGTGGGGGGGGTTGCACGCATGTGTGCCCACACCCATAATTCAATGCGCCTCGCCCCTCATGCATGCGCGACACCCCCCCCATGTTCCCCCCGCTTTTGGCACGTGATGGCATAGTGAGCCCAGTAGGCCCATTTTTTTCAACCCCAGGCTCCAGAGGCTTTCTTGGAGCCTGGGGAGGGTGAAAACAGCCTTCCCCACCCCACCCAGAGACCCTCTGGAGGCTGGAAACAGCCCATTTCCCAACTTCCAGTGGGCCCGAGAGGCCCAAAAATCAGCTGGCCGGTGCATACATGCACGCTGGAGCTGAGCTAGGGCAACGCTCGCGTGCCCACAGATATGGCTCCATGTGCCACCTGTGGCACACATGCCATAGGTTCGCCATCACGGTTCTAGGTCATTTACTGATGACACCTATTATATTTACCAGTGCATTATCAAATGACACAAATCTCAGGAATTTCAGGAACCAACTTCTACTTGTTTGTTCTATCCACATGTTTTTTTTATAAAAGTTTTTTATTTTATAGACAAACAAACATACAATACATAATCAATCAATCAGTGTATCATCTGAGTACATCTTTTGTGTCTTCTTCCTACTCCTCCACTTTTATCCATTTCTCTCACATTTCTTGCTTTTCTATTAATACATTTATCTATCTTCTTTCTCTTCTTTCTTCTTCGCTCATTTTATTACATTACCATATATATATACATACATACCCGTGAAAACTTACATAAACAATATATATATATATATATATATATATATATATATATATATATTCTTTAACCAATGATAAAATTGCCCCATACCTTAAAATATTCCGATTCCTCTCTTTCTTTAATTGTCAAAGTCAATCTATTCATTTCTGCACAATCCAGTATTTTCTTAATTACTTCTCCCTCTGTAGGGATTTTCTCTGCTTTCCATCTTTGTGCAAATACTATCCTCACTGCGGTTATAACGTGCATAATCAAATATGTATTTTCTTTACTAAATTTCACTGGTAAGATACCCAATAGGAACAGTTCAGGTTTTAAATCCATATGTTGTTGTATCATTTCTTCTACCCATGTTTTAATTTTAATCCAATAATTTCTCACTTTTGGACATGTCCACCACATATGATAATACAATCCTGGTGTCTGATGGCATTTCCAACATTTAGCTGATTTATCTTTAAATGTTTTTGCCAATTTTTCAGTTGGCATGTGCCATCTGTAAAACATTTTGTATTGATTCTTCTTATATGCTGTGGAATTTAAAAATTCCTTTCCCATAGCTGCTGCTATTTATTTAACTCAATTGAATATCCAATTTTTTTTGCCCAAGCTATCATTGTTTCTTTTACTTGTTCTTCTTCTAATTCAATGGTAAGTAGGTAATTATATATATATTAATTATTTTTTCATCTGTTCCTGTATCTTATCCAGTTCTGTCATTTCTAAATAAAAACTATGTAGTCTTTTTCATATCTTGTTTGTATTTGAATATGAGTACAGTATATCTGTCCATCTCAATCCCTTGTTCTTCTATTTCTTGTTTCCCTTTCAATTCCCCCTTATCTGTTAATATATTCTTGTATCTAAGAATATTTTTAATATTAATAATATTTGAGTGTATTAACGCTTCCATTGTTGATAACCATGTTGGTATTTTCAAATAATATTTATCTCTGATCTTCTCCCACACTAGTAATAATGCATTTCTTACATAGAAAATAAGTATGCATCTTGCTTCTGCCATATTATAAAAAGGCGTGCCATCCCAATTGTAAATCATGTCCTTCCAAATTTAATAGTCTTATATTTCTTAGTCCAATCCATTCTCTCATCCAAGTCAATGCTGCTGCCTGGTAGTATAGTTCCCAATTCGGCAGTTCAAATCCTCCACATAGTCTCACATCTTGTAACATTTTTATGTTGATTCTCACTTTCTTCCCTTGCCATATAAATTTCCTTACTGTTTTGTTAAGCTGTTCAAAATATGTCTTTTCCACTTTTATCGGCATTGTCTGAAATAAAAACAATAGTCTCGGTAATATATTCATCTTAATTATCGGAATCTTTCCCATTAATGTTAACTGTACATTTTTCAATTTCTCCAAATCTTCCTCAATTTGTCTTTTTAATTTGTAATAGTTATCTTCTTTTATTGTTACACATCTTGAAGTTAAATGTATTCCTAAGGTGAAATCAGAGGAGGTGGAAGGAAGGAAGGAAGGAAGGAAGGAAGGAAGGAAGGAAGGAAGGAAGAGGCTACTGTACTACACTCCCATCATTCCTGAGTTGTGCTGTTAAAGAAATCCAGTGCCACCAGGGAGAAGTCAAGTTGTGAAAGAGTGATTGAAATTCCTCACAAAACCTCATTATTCAGGTTAAATTGCCATATTGGCACTTTGTGATAAATAAGTGGGTTTTGGGTTGCAGTTTGGGCACTCGGTCCCTAAAAGGTTCGCCATCACTGCCCTATACCATTCCAGGGAAGTGGCTCCCCAGTCTCTACTTAATAGCCTCCACTGATGGAGACCCACAACTTCTAAAGGCAACCCATTCCACTGGATAATTGTTCTCACTGTTAGGAAATTTCTCCTTAATTCTAGGTTGCTTCACTCCTTGATTAATTTCTATCCATTGCTTCTTGTCTTGCCTTCTAATGCTTTTGAAAATAGGTTGACCCACTCTTCTTTGTGGCAGCCCCTCAAATATTGGAACACTCTGAGTCCTTCCTTCCACTAGACTAGACATACCCAATTCCTGCAACCTTTCTTCATATGTTTTAGCCTCCAGCCCCCTAATCAGCTTTGTGGCTGTTGTCTACACTTTTTCAGAGTGTCAACAACTTTTTTATATTGTAGTGACCAGAACTGGATGCAGTATTCGAAGTGTGATCTTACTAAGGCCTTATAAACCGGTACTAACACTTCGCATGATCTTGATTCTAACCCTCTGTTAATGCAGCCTAGGACTGCATTGGCTTTTTTGGCAGCCGCACACAAATATGGCTCATATTTAAGTAATTGTCTAGTAGGACTCCAGTTTTTACTGCCACTTGATAATGTATGTTCTTTTCTAAAATATGGCCCCCATCATTGGCCATTGTTTTTCCCCCTCTCCCAAGGTCGTTGTGGTTACTGGCTGTATTAGGAGGCAGAGAATTTTTTATGTGCAACCTTAGACTTTTTTGTGTCAGAATGTCCTCTGCAGATATCCCAGGGGCAAAAAGTCAGGAGTCTCCTAAGATCCAACTACTGATGTCCACAGATGAAAGGCAGCCTATTTTCATCATGGTCCCTCAGAATCAAAAGCTGAGCTTGCAGCAAAAAGGAAAGTGAGGGGATTTTTGATTAATACATATACAAAGTTTTTACGGAGTTTTAGGAAGGGGTGGGAAGGACCTGGGGGGGTCTGTAGAACCACAGAGTGGCAGAGTGGGTCTGAGGGTCATGGCGGGAGGAGAGAGGGAGGGGGTTAGATAGGGATGAGATGAAGGGCCATTCCATCAAAACAGTGAGTGGGAGGGGCAGATATGGTGGGCGCAGGGGGCCGTATCATGTACAGGGAGTACGCATTCGCTGGTTGCGAGCGATGGCATGCTCCGGCCCCCAAGGCGCTTCTTGTATTCCAGGTTGTGCAGAGTCTTAGGGCCCGGGCCTTCGGTTGTTGTTGTGCAATGCCAGGTCTGTGACTAATAAAGCCCCCCTCATTCATGATTTAGTTCAAGAGGGGGGTGCAGACCTGGCTGGGCCACGAGGGGGGGTTCCCCTCGTGGAGATGTGCCCACCAGGCTTCCACGCATTTCATCAGCCCAGGGGAGGGGCGGAGGGGTAGCGGTGATTATTAAAGAAAGTCTTAGTCCAAGGGAGGCCACTGTTCCTCAGATAGCTGGCTGTGAGACCCTCTTTGTGAAGCGGGGTCATGGGGTGCAGAAGGGTTTGCTGACCATGTACCTGGCTCCCTGCCGCGTGGCAGCTGCCCTGCCTGAGCTGCTCAACGTAACAGCCGGGGTGGCGGTGGATACCCCCAGGCTTATGGTCATGGGGGATTTCAACCTGCCATCCGTTGGTGAAACGTCGGAAGTGGCTCAGGAGTTCATGGCTTCCATGATGGCCATGGACCTGACCCAGTTAGTTCATGACCCTACCCACATAGGGGGACACACACTAGACTTGATTTTTGTCTCTGGTCAGTGGCTGAATGATCTCACAATAGGGGATCTAGTCATCAAGCCCTTGTCATGGACAGATCATTCACTCCTTCAGCTGGACTTTCGTACTGCTCCCCCTCGCTGCACGGAGATGGAACCGACCAGGTGGTGCCCTCCCAGGTGCCTGATGGACCCCGAGAGGTTCCTGACAGAGCTTGGGCCATTCCCAGAGGCTCCCACAGCTTTGGCTGAGGAGCTGGCGGCCGCCTGGGATAGGGCAGCCGCCGGAGCCTTGGACCGCATCGCGCCTTTGCGACCTCTGACCCAGTGCCATTCTCAATTGGCTCCTTGGTTCTCCGAGGAGCTGAGAGAGATGAAGCACCAGAAAAGACGCCTAGAGAGCGATTGGAGGACCAGCCGTGCCGAATCAAGACCTACCTAGTGGCAATAAGAGTGGCAAAATCTAACTATTTTTCCACTCTTATTGCATCTGCAGAGAACCGCCCAGCCGCCCTGTTCAGGATGACCCACTCTCTACTCCAGGTGGGAGCGAGGGAGGACCCCTTGCAGGGTAGAGCTGAGGATTTTGGGCAGTATCTGCATGATAAAATCGCTCAGATTCGGCACAGCCTGGACTCTGATTGGATAGTTTCAGACGGGATGACGGAGGCAAGTCTTGAGACTGTTATCTGGGAGGAGTTTGACCCTGTGACTCCTGAGGACATGGACAGGATTTTGGGGAGGCTTAACGCTACCACATGTTTACTAGACCCGTGTCCCTCCTGGTTGGTACTGGCCTCCCAGGAGGTTACACGAGGCTGGTTTCAGGAGATTACCAACGCTTTGCTGGGTGTGGGTGTCTTCCCAGCTGCCCTGAAAGAGGCGGTGGTGAGGCCCCTCCTCAAGAAGCCTTCCCTGGACCTGGCTGTTTTAGCTAATTATCATCCTGTCTCCAACCTTCGCTTCACGGCGAAGGTTGTCGAGAGTGTGGTGGTGAGGCAACTTCCTCGATTCCTGGATGAAGCTGTCTATCTAGATCAGTGCCAGTCGGGCTTCAGGGCGGGTTACAGCATGGAAATGGCATTGATCGCATTGGTTGATGATCTCTGGAGGGCTCAGGACAGGGGTTGCTCCTCTGTTCTGGTCCTCCTAGACCTCTCAGCAGCTTTTGATACCATCGATCATGGTATCATGCTGCGTCGGCTAGAGGGGTTGGGAGTGGGGGGCACCGTTTTACAGTGGTTCTCCTCCTTCCTCTCTGACCATATGCAGTCTGTGTTGATGGGAGGGCAGAGGTTGACCTCAAGGTTCCTCACTTGTGGGGTGCCACAGGGATTGGTTCTCTCGCCCCTCCTGTTTAACATTTATGTGAAGCCGCTGGGCGAGATCATCTGTGGCTTTGGGGTGAAGTATCAACTGTATGCCGATGACACACAGTTGTACATTTCAACCCCAGGCCACCCCAATGATGCCCTTGACATGATGTCCCATTGCCTGGAGGCCGTGCGGATCTGGATGGGGAGGAACAGGCTCAGACTCAACCCTTCCAAGACTGAGTGGCTGTGGTTTCTGGCGTCCCGATATAGCCAGCTCACACCATCGCTGACTATTGGGGATGAGATCTTACCCCCTCAGAGAGGGCTCACAACTTGGGCGTCCTCCTGGACTCACGGATGATCATATGACGGCCGTGGCCAGGGGGGCTTTTTATCAGGTTCGCCTGATTTTCCAGTTGCGCCCCTTTCTGGATCGGGATGCCTTGCACACAGTCACTCATGCTCTTGTCACTTCCCATCTGGACTATTGTAACGCTCTCTACATGGGGCTCCCCTTGAGGAGCACCCGGAGGCTCCAACTGGTCCAGAATGTAGCCGCGCGAGTAATAATGGGGGTGACCCATTGCTCCCATGTAACACCCCTCTTGCATGAGCTGCACTGTCTCCCAGTGGTCTTCTGGGTGTGCTTCAAGGTGTTGGTTACCATCTTTAAAACGCTCCATGGCTTAGGATCTGGCTATCTACAAGACTGCATTCTGCCACCGATTGCCTCCCACTGACCAATACGCTCCCACAGAGAGGGCCTCCTCAGGGTGCCGTCAGCCAAACAATGTAGACTGGTGACCCCCAGAGGGAGAGCCTTCTCTGTGGGGGCCCCTGCCCTCTGGAATGAATTACCCCCGGACATACGAAGGATCCCCGACCTCCGCGCCTTCCGTTGTGCAGTGAAGACCCTGTTATTCCAGCAAGCCCCTCTGATGGGATAAATGATTTTAATTTGGTTTTAATGGGGTTTTAAAATTGGTTTTAAAATGAGAGTTTTAAATTCGGCCTATGATTTAATTATTTTAATCTGCTTTTAAATTCTATTTTGTACCTTGTTTTTATTACGGTTGTTCACCGCTCTGAGTCCTTTGGGAGAAGGGCAGTATATAAATTAAATAAATAAATAAATAAACTCAGATGTTAATTGATTTAGATGGCAACGAGTCATATTATCAAATGGAAGACTTGTGGTGGCTCTGATCTCTGATAGACATAGCCCTCAGATTTTGAAGTGGCCTCTGATAAGAATATTTTGATTATTTTTTGAAAGATATAAATCACTTCTAACCATTTCCTTCTTATTTTGTAAATGCACACAGCATATGCAATATCCCTATACAAATGCAAACCAAATATTAGCTAAGATTTTTCTTATTACTATCTTCTACTTCTCTAGTTTCTGCTTTATAAATTATATGCTATACTCCATTCCATATTATATTTAGTTAACAACAATACCATGATTTTAGGAACAAACTGTGCAGGCGGTGTGGTTGGGGTTTCTCGTACACTGAAGTAACTGTGCCGGCCTGTTGTAAAACAGTAATAAAATATACATATAAATCCACATATACCGTGGCAAATTTAATAAATAAAATAAAATAAATAAATATGGCAGGTCTACATCCATCCAGAAGATGTATAGATCTAATTTATCAATGTATATGTAATAGTAGAAGAGTTTCTAGTTATTGATATAAGTAGAATTAAACCTTCATAAACTGTGTTCAGTAAGGGTGCCTAAATAACACTTTAGGCACCCTTACTGAACACAGTTTATGAAAGTTTAATTTTGTCAAAATTTCCACTTTAATAGACAAAGAGCAAACAAGAAACAAAGAAAAAATACAGAACAATCAGGAAAACCTACTACTTTGCATGAGAAAAATAATTCAAACTACTTTTGAATGTAGCATTAAGCCTTCACCAAAGACATAAAATTAATTACCATATTTTTTGCACTATAAGACATTCCAGACCATAAGATGCACCTAGCTCTTGGAGAGGAAAACAAGAAAAAAAAATCTGCCTCTGCCTCCCATCGATATTCATCTGGCTAGTGTCCTTGCAGCAAACAGCAAACATCCTGGTCAGCTTCAGCATGTTATGGCAGCCTGATTTAGCACTAGCAGCTGATTGGTGGCTGGATAGGCCTCCCAGAATACCGCCAATCAGCTGTTCCAGGCTGAGGGGATTGCTGCTGCCTATCACCGCCTCCGTGCATCATGTTTTCAGCCTCCGTGCATACTGTTTTAAGCCTGTTCCAGGCAGTGGGGATCACCTCTGCCTATTGCTGGCAATTGGCGGTGATAGGCGGCAATCAGCGGCAGTGGCAATTCCTTTCTGCCTGGAATGGGCTGAAAATGGGATACACAGAAGCCAAAAACAAGGTGTGCAGAGGCCAAAAATGGTGTGCATGGAGGCCAAAAATGGGGCATGCAGAGGCTGAAAATGGGGCATGTGGAGGCCGAAAACGGCCGAAGGGTGGGTGCTGGCAGGTGGGCAGGGTTTCAGCAACATTCATTTTATAAGACGTACAGACATTTCCACCCACTTTTTTCGGGGGAGAAGTGTGTCTTATAGACTGAAAAATATGGTACGTCTTTCCATCACATCAATAGAGAGTTCACTGCATACAAGGTTTAGTTTGGGGTCACACTATCTTTGAATGATTTGTATGAATAGTGATTTATTTGGCTGTCCCTTTCCTCCCAAATCATCCTTTTATTCTTTATGTGATTGGAAGCTTCTAGTTTGAGACACATTGTTCAAAAATACATTTGAATCTTTAATTTTTGATCTTGATAACGCCACTTTAATAAACTGATGAAAAAGCTGTTTACAAAAGCTCTGATTCTCAATCTATATTTTGCTTATCTGATTCTGCATATGTTCACATTATAACTATATAATGGAATCATTTTTATAAGTTTTATTGTAACCTCTGGAAAGGTTGACTTATGAGGAGGGAGCCATGGATATAACCTTTATCAATTCATTCCTTTTCTTTTATTATATTAACTCTAGTTTAAACAGTATCCTTAAAAATTACAATGATTGATACTTGATTAAAATAACAATAATATCTATTAAGTGATAAGGCAGAAACTGTGTTGAGGTTTTTGAAGATGATAATGTCGCATTATTTCTGTAATTTTTATTATTCTGCTGCACAGAAATTACCTGTAATTGTCTTCGCAGGAGACACTTATATTTCGGTTTTCCAAGATCTCTCTCAATTGTGCAATGGAATGTCCTGTGCAAGATTCCCTGGTAATAGAAGCCCATCACATGTTAGTTCCAGGTATATATTGTCTCTGTGCTAAATCCTTCCAGAAAATAAAAACGTGATGCCTGATGCCTGAATAAATATTTTTCCAATAGTTTAAAAATCACTCTAGTGTTTTCAAGGTAACCTCAGTCCTAAACACCCAAATCAGCATAATCAGTCTTGCCCCCAGCATCCACCATTTAAGCAGACCAAAAGAGGCATCAGTACACAGAGGGGTTTTTTTTTTATAGCAAGCTTTTTTTTTTTCTTCTTATACCACATTGCACATATAGATAGCATATTTGGAAGGGGTTTCGCAGTATCATCATTACAATTAAAGAAAATGTAAAATCAGGCTCGTCTGGGGGATGGGGGAGGGAGGGTCGAGATCCAAAACAAGAAACAGGAAAAACTAAAGAGCAATGCATGAAAAAACTATAGATCCCAAATGCCATCACTCTGCTAAACAAATAATTCCCTCAACACTGTGAAACTATTTACTAAGACTGCACTATTAATCTTCTCATCGTTCCCATCACCCATCTCCTTCCACTTATGACTGTATGACTTTAACTTTGTTGCTTGTATCCTTACAATTTATATTGCTTATTTGTACCCTATGACTATCATTAAGTGTTGTACCTTATGATTCTTGATGAACGTATCTTTTCTTTTATGTATACCGAGAGCATATGCACCAAGACAAATTCCTTGTGTGTCCAATCACACTTGGCCAATAAAAAAATTCTATTCTATTCTATTCTATTCTATTCTATTCTATTCTATTCTATTCTATTCTATTCTATTCTATTCTATTCTATTCTATTCTAATAACAAAGGGCCCACCAGAAGTTTTATACAATTTCAGAATACAAAAGAGGTTGCTGTAAATATGCTTTAGATTCTCCCTCTGTGTCTTTTTTTTTTTTGAAGGTTCACCTTTTCCTCATTACTCTATTTTTGTTTTTTCCATGCTGCCCTCTTTTCTAAGCCACCTCCCTTTCTCTTGCTTTGCATGGAGAAAGCATGAAATGGGATTTTTGCATGTGAAATTGGTGTACACAAGCAGTCCAATTGCAGTCTGACTGCAGTTTGCAAATGTGAGTATGTTGATGGTAAAAGCTGGTGTGAATGTACTTTGATTCCCTTTCGTAGAAAGAAACAGTAAGTTGCAAGATGTTTGTTGTTGTTGTTGTGAAGTAAGAGGAAAGGCAATAGCAAGTGTTTGCAAGGAAAAGAAATAAAGAAACTTATTTTGTCAAAAGTATGCTGAGTGGAGAAAGGGAATGAGATTTCTGTGTAGTCTTTTAAATTTTTTCCTGTCCTCACTGGTTATTAATTCGAGGATATTTTGCCTTGAAAGAGCGAGAGAAGCAGGAAAGGAGGGAATGCAGTTTTTCTGCTCATTTTAACCATTTTTCTCCCCCCCCTCCAAGCCTGTCTGAGAAAGGCCGGGCAAATGGGTGACCTGCTCTTGCAGCCTGGCCTTTCACTGTTTTGGTCTCTTTCATCTGCATATAAAAGCTATGCGGATATATTTTCTTTTCTGCTCTGAATACAATTTTGATTTTTTTTTTCTGGAAATGTTTGAGGTTTCTTTCTTTTTTTTAATATAAAAAGTTTTTTATTAATAATACAAAATTTAAAAAACATTGGACATAGATATGACATCACTGGTTCCATACATCTTCTGTCACTTTACAATAATATTAGTAGTCATATAAACATATAGTTCTTAAGCTTTGTTTTTATTTATTTATTTATTTATTTTATTGAATTTGTATACCGCCCTACTCCTGAAGGACTCAGGGCGGTGAACAGCCATAGAATAAAACATATAAATACAAAATTTAAAATAGAATAAAACGAATTAAATAATTTGGCTGCATTTAAAACCCCAATAATTTAAAACTAAATTTAAAATTTCCATTTAAAAAGGGGAAAAAACTTAGGTCAGGCCAGCTTGATGAAATAAAAAAGTCTTGAGTGCGCGACGGAAGGTACACAGATCCGGGATCCTCCGTATCTCGGGGGGGGAGCTCGTTCCAGATAGTAGGTGCCCCCACAGAGAAGGCTCTCCCCCTGGGGGCCACCAGTCGACATTGTTTGGCCGACGGCACTTGGAGGAGCCCCTCTCTATGGGAGCGTACTGGTCGGTGGGAGGCTATTGGTGGTAGCAGGCGGTCCCGTAAATAACCAGGTCCTAAGCCATGGAGCACTCTAAAGGTGATAACCAAAACCTTGAAGCGCACTCGGAAGACCACCGGGAGCCAGTGCAGCTCGCGCAGGAGAGGCGTTACATGGGAGCGCCACATCGCTCCCGTCACCACCCGCGCGGCCGCACTCTGCACCAGTTGGAGCCTCCGAGTGCTCCTCAAGGGGAGCCCCATGTAGAGAGTGTTACAATAGTCCAGACGGGAGGTGACAAGGGCATGAGTGACCGTGCGTAAGGAGTCCCGATCTAGAAAGGGACGCAACTGGCGGATCAGGCAAACCTGATGAAAAATCCTCCCGGTCATGGCCATCAAATGCTCTTCTAAAGACACCCAAGTTGCGAGCCCTTTCCGTGGGGGCCAATGATTTGCCCCCAATAGTCAGCGATGGCACCAGCTGACTATATCGGGACGTTGGAAACCACAGCCACTCGGTCTTGGATGGGTTGAGCCTGAGCCTGTTTCTCCCCATCCAGATCTGTACGGCCTCCAGGCACTGGGACATCACTTCAAGGGTGGTCTGGGGTGGAGATGTACAGCTGGGTGTCATCAGCATACTGGTGGTACTCCACCCCGAAACCATGGATGATCTCGCCCAGCAGCTTTACATAAATGTTGAACAAAAGGGGCAAGAGGACCGATCCTTGTGGCACCCCACATATAAGGGGCTCGGGGTCGACATCTGCCCCCCTGTCAACACAGACTGCGACCAGTTGGAGAGAAAGGAGGAGAACCACCGTAGTACAGTGCCTCCTACCCCCAACTCTTCCAACCGGTGCAGTCGATGGTATCAAAAGCCGCTGAGAGATCTAACAGGACCAGGACAGAGGAGCACCCCCTGTCCCGAGCCCTCCAGAGATCATCCACCAATGCAACCAATGCCGTTTCCATGCTGTACCCAGGCCTGAAGCCCGACTGGAACGGATCTAGATAAGCTGATTCATCCAGGTACTGAGGAAGCTGTCGCGCTACCACACTCTCAACAACCTTCGCAACAAAGCGAAGGTTGGAGACTGGACGATAATTAGCCAACACTGCCAGGTCCAGGGAAGGCTTCTTGAGGAGAGGCCTCACATTGCCTCCTTCAAGGCGGCAGGGAAGACACCCTCACTCAAGAGACTTGGTAGTACAGGGGTTTAAGGCACCCTGTTATTAAGCTGGTTATTAAGACCAGCTGCCTGCAATTACTGCAGGGTTCAAATCTCGCCAAGGCTCAAGGTTGACTCAGCCTTCCATCCTTTCTAAGGTAGGTGAAATGAGGACCCAGTTTGTGGGAGCAATAAGCTGACTTTGTATAAATATACAAAAGGATGAAGGCTATTGCTGAGCACATTGTAAGCCGCCCTGAGTCTTCGGAGAAGGGCGGCATATAAATCAAATTAAAAAATAAATAAATAAATAAATTTTAAAAAAAGAAGCATTAATAATCTCCTGGAGCCAGCCTCGTGTAACCTCCCGGGAGGCCAGCACCAACCAGGAGGGACACCGGTCCAATAAACATGTGGCCGCATTCAGTCTGCCCAGTATCCTGTCCACATCTTCGGGAGTCACAGAATCAAACTCTCCCCAGATAATATTCTCAAGACCTGCCTCCATCATCCCCCCTGAATCTACCCAGTCAGAGTCCAAATGTTCCCGAATCTGAGTGATTTTGTCATACAGATACTGTACAAAGTCCTCGGCGCTACCCTCCAAGGGGTCCTCCCGCGCTTTCTGGTGGAGCAGGGAGCAGGTCACCTTAAATAGGGCAGCTGGGCAATTATCAGATGATGCAATAAGAGCGGAAAAATAATTGTATTTTGCCACTTTTATCGCCACCAGTTAGGTCTTAATATGAGACCTTACCAGTGTTCGGTTGGATTCAGAATGGCTGGCCCTCCAACTGCTCTCCAGGCATCTTTTCCAGCGCTTCATCTCCCTCAGCTCCTCGGTGAACCAAGGAGCCAGGTGAGACTGGTGCCAGGTCAGAGGCCGCAAAAGCACGACCCAGTCCAAAGCTCCAGCGGCCGCCCTATCCCAGGCGGCCACTAGGTCTTCAGTCGAGCCATGAGCCAGAGCCTCAGGAAATGGCCCAAGCTCCGTCTGGAACCTATCCGGATCCATCAGGCACCTGGGACGGAACCACCTCATCGGTCCCTGTGGTGGGGTGTGGAGGTTCGAAGGTCAAAGCGAAGGAGGGAGTGATCCGACCATGACAAGGGCTTGATCGCTATATCCCCATCTCAAAATCACTCAACCACTGACCAGAGACAAAAACCAAGACCAGTGTCTTTCCCCCCGTGTGAGTAGGGCCATGAACTAACTGGGTCAGATCCATTGCTGTCATGGAAGCCATGAACTCCCGAGCCACCTCAGATGCCTCACCGACAGATGGCAGGTTAAAATCCCCCATGACCATAAGCCTGGGGGTATCAACTGCCACCATGGCTATAACATTGAGCAGCTCGGGCAGGGTCACTGCCACGTGGCAGGAAGCCAGGTATGTAACCAACAAGCCCATCTGCACCCCATGACCCCACTTCACAAGGAGGGACTCACATCCGGCCGTCTGAGGAATAGTGGCCTCCCTTGGACCAAGACCTTCTTTAATAACAACCGCCACCCCCTCCCCTCCCCTGTGACATCGGCTGATGAAATGCACGAAAACCGGGTGGGCACATTTCAACAAGGGGGACCCCCTCCTGGCCCAACCAGGTCTCCGTAATACCCGCCAGGTCCGCTCCCCCCTCCTGAACAAGATCACAAACCTGACAGGAGCTTTATTTACCACGGACCTGACGTTGCAT